AGGAAATGCCGAAACAAACTCAAAGGTTTGTCTCGTTTTAAGTCTGACGAAATGTTACAAATATGTTTATATTCACGATACGGCTTAATATTTTTTGATAATTATTTACGAAAACATTTTAAAATACTCACTCTAGAAAACGATTGCACGAAAAATATTGCACCGACTTTTTCAAATATTATTTTGTTTACATTCGTCAAGTTCAATACTTGTATTTATAAAACAGCATTTTTGCGCGATAGCAAATTAAAATTTCCTGTTTCAAATGTTAGGATTTTTTTCTTTATTGAACATTCTTGTTCAATTATCAAATTGATATTTGTTATCCAGAATGGATAAGGTAATTTTCACAAAACAGAATTAGGTATCTAATCATAAATCATTTTGCCTCGTGTTTGTAAACATAGGGTGAAGAATATCAATATCAGTATCAGTCTGAGAGATACCAGGAGCTTGTTATAATAAAGTATCGTTTTCTTATTTTTCCGTCAAGTATAGAGGCTGTGTAATTGGATGTCCAGCGCTATTGGATCCTTGTCAATCAATTTTTTTCTCGCGTTTATTTCTACTTCATGTGCTGCTAACGCCATCTAGCGTGGAGGTTTAACAGGTACTGCAAAAATCGTTATCAATCAATATTTTAAATTGACCTACGCAAACGATTTATTTTTTGTATATTCATTATTCTTTATTAAATTCTAAATAAAAATTCTTAGTTATTATCAGGTATTTTTATAACGATATTCCACAATGTAGTTGTTTTTTTATGACGTATGATTTTGTAGGTAACATAAAGAATTTATTATCATAAATATAAACTTAAGAATCAAAAGTAATATTGTAACGTTTTTATAAAAGGTGGCTTATCTCTTTAAAAATATTGATCAATTTAGCAATCACGAGTCCTATGCCTATTTAACAAAATATGTTTTCCGATTTCTCATAGAAATTTCCTATAAGCCGACAAAACGCACACCTCTGATTGGCTAATGATCGCCTTTTAAGAAAGGACAGCGGCTTCCTTAATATTTTGACAGATGCATTCGTCACGCATATGTCTATAATTGCACGATAGAAACGACAATAGCAAAAAAAAAAAAGATCTAATCGCTCGAAAATCAATGAATGGTTATTTTTTTTTCATTTTAAAAATATTTATGCTTAATACAGTAACAAAAAGGTTCGTAGAAAATAAAAGGAAATTAATAAAGTTATCCACCATCCAGTTACCAGAAATCTATATCAAACTAGAATTCTTACATAATTTTAAATAGTCTATGGCTTGCTTTTATAGTACTAGACAAAAACAATAGATTCTCTCACACTGAGATTAAATGAAATTACTAAATAGGAAAACTTTACAACAACACACTGAAAACCAAAAAAAAAATAATGCTATGTTAAAAAAAAACTACAACCTTACTATTTGCAGCAACTATTTGATGCATCGATCGCTCGGTAGGATATCGATTGTACACCTAATGCCATAATAATCGGGTACCCTTCAAAATTAACGCCTTGCGCTCACCGATTCTGTGCCACACCTCTACTCCGTAACCTGTCATTAAACCATTAAATTTGACAGGCTACTTAAAAGTCCTATAATTATTTTTTAAAACCACATGCATGGAGGTTACGTTAAAAAAAGTATGTATAATGGATTTTCGGTGGTTCGAATTTAGATAATTGTCGAAATATTGATTCCATTTGAACAGATGTCGGTCATAAGGTGTTGGAGAAATTAGAGCTATTATGTGTATTAGGAAGCCGGTACTCATCTTCGTGTGTGAATATTTTGGCCCATAGATAATTGATGATTATCATTTCTAAGTTTTTTTTTTTTCTTGTCAGCCTTATGGTTGTTACTTACGTTTTCTCAACACGACATTCTGAGTATTCGAACTCTGGTTTAGAGCGTCAATTTATTAAATTCTTAATAAATCACAATACAATAATTATAAGATAGTTTGAAGTGCGGCTAAACCTTAAAAATCTATTAAAATGTGTCTTATATAGTCGTTGTGGCTCGAAGATTCTCATGTATGTGTCATTCCCACATACAACTTTCAACCCATGAAGTTTCTGATCTTATTTAGAAACCACTTACCTACATACTACGACGAAGAAAAACATCGTTAGGAAATCTAGACTTCTTATTTCAACTGAGTAAGGTTGAAAACGCCAATCGACCTGAAGCAAATGTAGTGATTAACACTTAAATTTTCTCCGTGTGAGAAGACGCTAAAGCTAAGCACTGTTGATTTAGAATCTATGTCCATGTCGTTCACGGCAGATTCGGGCCTTTTTACATTAACATAAATATATATTTCTTCTTTTCTCGATTTGGAGGCCTTCAGCACCGTGAAAATTTCTCGTCTAGCCAACAGATAGACATGGATCGTACTGGTGTTTAGGTTATTTTGTCGAACTTCCATACTTTTCCGCATTGAGACAGACATACCTATGTATGCACACACAGATACATGTAAGTTACATTACGCAAAGAAAACGCATTTGATCGGTAATCCCGGACATGTGACGGGCGTGATGGAGCGGCCATTTAATGGTGTTCGAATGATCTACGGATCATTGATGATCGTGACGTACGCGTCACGTGCTTATCCTCTAACGACCATCCGTAACATGGTACCGATAGTCCGCAATGTTATGGTATAACATCATATCTATGTTTTCCTGCAGATACAGGTAGATAGGTATTATAGGAAAGGAAAGGTTCCAGTTCTTCCATATTTGAAAGACAAGTTAAGAGAAACGAAGGCATATGAAATTTTTACCAACTATTTTTTCTTTACGATAATAGTAGTCGTCAAACAAGGTCGGAGCAGCCCATGAACACCCAACATCAAGGAGTTTCAAGTGTATTCCGCGTCTATTGTTTTTTTTAATGGAGGACAATTATCGAATGCCTTCTCTCGGCCTGAGGCGAGAGTAATTCATTTTGACTTCAACAACCCCATTCCTTCTCTTGCTGCGGCTGCTTTCTTTCTTCTCTTTTAGGGGTTAGGGCCCATTAGTGCGGGGTTGCGGGGTAAGCGCAATGAGGCACCGCGACCTCGGTCCAGAGCAGAAGAAGGCATAGGGGGGTTTATAGTCAGTAAGAGTCTGACACTCCCTCCCGCCAGGCCCTGGGTGGGAGAAGTCATTTGATGATTGTCCCCTCACAACTAAAAGGTCCCATAAGTGCTGATGTTTTACTGTCACATACTTATATTACGTACGATGTTAGATATTATTTAATACACAAAACTTTTGGCCGCATGGTTAACGCACCCCAACCTAGAACAACAATGTATGGATCACACAATGATTTATTTAGGAAGAATCAATCTCGAGATACTTCATGTAGTAGCTGGTTGTCCAGTCACTGCGCTAACTATCCAGTCAATAGCAATACAATAAATATCAAAGTCACCTACAAAATCTTATCATCCCTATCGCAAAACACAAAGTTTATTACTGTAGGAATTTTCATTACTCCTCTATGAGTAGACTATTCAAATAATCGACTAATATCAGTGTATAATATGAAATACCGTGCGAACAGCCACATGTGAACATTAATGACTAAGCTTAGCGCGTTAGATTTGCTCATTAGTCGACTAAAGTGTCGATGTATCAGATTCGATTTGACCAAAGGCCCCCTCTATCGGTTTTAATCTTCGCAGTGGCGTGAGAGGTCGGGGTATATTAAACGATATTTTTTATCTAGCGTTCTTTTTTTGTTATTATTTGTCGATGGCATAATATGAGTTTTAACGGTTTTTCGTTTTTGGGACCCAAAATTTCATTCTTTTTATAAATGATAAAATTTTACATCTACTTCTTTGTATGTCATTGTCTGTCAGTGATACTTTATAAAATCTTGAATCTAAGTATAATAAGGTTGAAAATCGCTGGTCGTAAAATGTCAAATACACGAATAGTAAGAATTTTGTGGTCTAAAACCACATTATTGTCTCATCTATTTAACAAAAGAAACAGAGTTGTACTTGATTAAACTTTCGAAAAGTACTTCTATACTTCTCATTTTAATCGTCGATATTCAATAACTCATTTTAATGATCGCTTCTCGACAAATATAAGACCTTTTCCTTAGCTAACGCTAAATATTTTCGTCGAAATCGTACGCAGAATATCGTGGAGGCTTGTTTTTCGCAGGTTAGTGAGCGGTTTTAACTAACATTTAATTCAAATCGCAAATCCGCCTTGTTCAAACGAAGAAATTAACATATAAACCTTCTACATGTGCGAAGAGGCCTTTGCCTTACAGTGGCACTTACAAGCCGATAAAGTACTAAACAGGACATAACATTCAACACTAGAACTTTAAAACACCCCCTCAATAATCCGGTAGAACTGTTTCTACAATCGAACAACGTACAACAAAAACAAACTTTCACACTATAAGCCGCGTGTGCGCATATAAATGATATTTCTTAGTAATGGCCGCGCATCACCGCCTGTAGTTATTATATCGTCATTATAGGCTGCCATACGCTTGCGTTTCCTTGACAACGCAATCTGTATTAACTGTTCTACTGTAGTTCCGTTTTCATTTTTGTTCAAACTGTTTCTCTCTTTAATTTTCATTACATAATGTTTTTTTTATGAGATTGGTCAACGATCGCCCAGCTATACCCGCAACTCCATAAAAGCAAAGTAGTGTATTGAGTGTACTTTTTGATAAGTGTTTATGGTATTAAAGAATTGGGAAGGGATGGGGGTGGAGATGGATTAGGTTCGGCAACCTCACTCACACGGCGAAACACAACTCTGTGGTTGTTCCCCGCAGCTTTTTTGTGAGTCCGTGGATCTGTCTGGTTGAGCCAATTAACCCATTCGTGCCAAAACCATAGCTCTCCTACACTTAAATACAATTTAAGAAATAATTTTATTTTGAGTGTATTGAGTAAGCTTTCGAAACTATTTGAAAAATTACTATCATCAAACAACCACTAACAACAAAATCCTATTTCCAGCAAGTCGCAACACCGACAGTCGTGAAGAAGATCCTCCGGTTGAAACAAGAGAACCCGGGTATGTTCGCGTGGGAGATCCGCGAGCGTCTGCTCAGCGCGAGAGTGTGTGAACCTCACTCCATTCCGTCAGTATCGAGCGTCAACAGGATCTTGAGGAACAGCGGGTTGGCTTGGAGCGATGACGACACCAGGAGTGCTCATGGTAAGAACAAGTCTAAATTCTGGTTAAGACTTCTCCTCTATGTTATGACCATTTCATTACGAGGTTCAATGTCAAAAGGTTCATGTTTCTTGACGCGGTGGACTGATGCGTTGAGGTACTTACAGAAACACTGAATTTCATGGTTGTTACTGTTGATGTGGCGGGCTTGTCTCATACTTGCTTCACCCACGTCGATGAAGGAAAAGACACAAATTTTATTACTATCTTTACTTTCAGTCTTTTAATGTTAGAGAGGATTACCTTGTTTACGTAAAACTCTTAAGCATTTGAAGTCCATTGCTAGCAAAAATGTTTCTTATCTTAATGCATGAACAATTATTAACACCTTTATATGAGTTCAAACGTGTTTTAATCATCAACATAATACCTACTTTTATAAAACTTTTATTAAGCATTGACAAACTGGTAGTTGTTCTATAAATCACATTAAATTACACTTTCTACCGTGACCAACCTTAAACTCCCCTTTCCCAACTAACAAGAAACCATTTAAAACTAATAAATCCCAACTATTTTCTACCATATAACTACAATAAAAAAAACCTGACGCATCATCACAGAACCTTATCATTTCATTAACACCTTCAAACAAACTAAAAAAGCAGTTATTCAAACATCAAATTCAAATAAAGAACGTTAAGAACATAAAATTCAAATAAAAAACGTTAAACAGACAGCATTAAAGTTTAAAAATGAAACGGAATTAACTAATTAATGGCACATAGGCGTAAATTCTTCGCATCTCAGTGACAGGTGTCAGGAAATGTCTAGCAATTTAATTACACTTAAATCTTGCTTTGAACATATTTAAAAGACATTAAATCCGGCGTGTCTATGCGTAGGAGGATTTTGTGGAACATTTTTTGTTATATACTACCGATGTCTTATGGAAAGAATTGATGTTACATAGCTGTTTATGGTCCTTAATTATAGCTGTGTTTTATGTAGAAAATGTTGCAAATTTACCCAACAAAATAAGAAGTCTATATTTTTTCTTTCTTTACATCTAACTAACGACACGCCCCCGCTTCGGATGCAATGCTGATAATAAATTTCTCCACTATTTAATGGACGTTATTATACATATAAACCTTCCACTTCAATTAGTCTATCTATTAAAAGAGACCGCATCAAAATCCATTGCGTAGTTTTAGAGATTTAAGCATACATACGGATAAAGGGACAGAGAAGGCGACTTTGTTTTATACTAGGTAGTGATTTTAAACTATTTGGCGTGCAAAATCGCTGTACTTATACGTTTTAAACAAAACCCTTCTCTTCTTTACAGAAGCGTACCCGCAGCCAGATTTACCGCCAAACATGATGGAGTACATGTCAATGAAGACGTCACTGCCTCCTACAGCCATACCATCACAGCAGAGCTCACCTTACTTCGCGCATTCCGCTGTGAGAGTACCTCCTCCACAACACACGGACCCAGCGCTTTACGACCGTAGATTAGCCACATCATGGCTTCTAGCCAACCAAGTACAAGCACAGGGCCTTTTAAAGCCCTACCCAATAAACCCCTGGCAAAGAATTATGCTACCCTACCACGACTCGAAGAACTTCTCACCCTACGCTCTGAACTTACATAGCGATCTTCTAAACCGGATAAATCCGGATGAAGTGAAATCGGAGAATTCGGAACATATCTCTGTTGAAGCAAGTGATGATAGCACGGATAGACCTGATGTTGATGACGATCAAAAGTCACATGAGAAAGAGAAGAAGAAGAATCCGTATTCGATAGAGGAGTTGTTGAAGAAACCGGATAAAATGGTCAATGTCAATCCGATTGGGTTCCAGAACTTTCTTAGGCAGCCGAGCGGTAGTATGATTGAAAATGGCCAGAATTTGAGCAATAGAAGTTCACCAGCTAGCTTCTGCTCCGTGCAGAGTGGCATTTCTAATGATTGCTTCTCTGAATCAGCCAGTTCGGAGATAAAGGCGGGAAATTGAGTTGTACCTACAGGTTATCCTAAGTACTTATTAACCCAATACCTGCATATATTTATTGTCATAATGTAAATGTTTATTAGATGTTACATACCTACTTAAATCAATAGTTACAAATTACTGAGTTTGAAACGTAAACATCACTATTTTATAAGGAAGAATAGAACAGTGACATTTCGTTCCATTTCAAATTTTATACTATTTTAATAGAATGTTGTACCTAAATCTTAACACAAATAGTAAATACAGTGAAACTTGGTTAAGTGGGACCTGGATAAGTGAGAAACCTCCATAACTGGAACTCATGCTGAGGTCCCAACACTTTGGCACTGAATTACCTCTGTTAGTGGGACGAGGCAAACCTGTATATCTGGGATTTGTTCTTTCGATTTATCATCATAGTTACCTCTACAACTGAGACAGCGAGTAAATTTTATATGCATAAACCTCTGTAACTGAGATAACATTGTTTGTTTACTCATTCTTAATATATCCACAAATTCCACACGTAATTCCAAGTACGTAAGTACAAATTTAGAGCTTCAATTACCTTCAGTTTTAGTTTCGCTTTACTATGCTACAGATGTTTATTTGAAAAATGCCAAAACGAAAGCTACAATCGTTATCATTACGTAAAAACTGAAGTTAATATCCGTTTCTGGAAGACACGCGAAAAAATTGTGATTATGATTACCTTTAAGTACTATTTTTTTTTATTAAAACTTATTTACATAGGTACATAACACGTTATTTTATTTAATGCAATCATTAAATAAAATAACGTGTTATGTATCACTGAATAACTGACTATATACCCGTATAACTGAAATAACCTGTATTCTCACCTCTATTAATGGAACCCTCTGTAAATGAAACAGATATTTATTTATACCTGTATATCTGAGACACTGGGTAAGTGGAATACCTCTATAAGTGAAACGACATTGCAGGTCCCTTGATGTCTCACTTAACCAGGTTTCACTGTATTAACCATCAAATTCTTATAATCAATATATTAACGATAGTATAATAAAAAAAAACTCATCTTCAAAAAAGAGTTCTGATACCGCCACTAACAATTACAACCAACGCCATCTGTTAATTAAAACCTGAATTTATAAGGGTTCGTGTATTTCGTGTACATAATAATAAAAATTGTTTTTTAATGTAAATAAGTATTGCCATACTATTAAACACTTTGTAAAGTATTTGATTTGTGTCCATACTATGTAGAAATATTAGTAAATAATAATAATATACGTAGATTTTAACTGTCCGTACAACAGTTTATTGTAATAAGTAATACTACTTATAATAATAATTAAATTATTTTGTCGGTATAAAACATTAGTAAGTATTAGTTAAATTAATATTTTTATTACATATTTTAGGTGGATTGTCCTTAACCCTAGTTTCTTGTAAAGAAATACATAAACCATTGCTTCGGATTTTGAATTTTGAATCTTATTGTCATCTACCTTCAATTCGAAATACAAAAACTGGCTCAATGGTTTAGTCCTAGACTAAAGTAAAACCTTGTTTTGTAATAAGGCCGTACACGATTACCGCAAAATGACAATGAAAATGCCATAAAAAAATTACAATTTTATAAAACGAAAAAAGGATTTATTGTTACCAAGACAATATTTACTTGTCACTGTATTTATGGACATACTTTAAGGGCAAACACCTTAACACCCAATATGAATAACCTAAATATTTATAATTATAGATAATTCTGTGATATTTTAGTATGATTATTTTCAGTAGATCGCTCTTTGAAAATAATCATTCCTTTTTAACGATAGACGTTCAAGATGGATAGACATTGTTTTGTATTTAATTTAATAATTAATTATACTTAGGCCACAACTGTATAAGCAAAAAATAAGTTTTTTAATGGCATCACGTTTTTTTTAGTAGATCTTTATTTAAATTCTTCTGTCTTCTATTTCGGGGTTGGGCAAAGCGCAGCGTTGGACCTATACTCTTTTTTCTCTTTCTTTTTTTAGAAAAAACATTACCCCACACTAGGATTTTCTCCAGTGTCATGGGTGTGGTTACAAATATACAATATCACGTGCACATGACACCCAGACCCGGAACAACAATTTGTGGATCACACAATGAGTTGTTCAGTGCAGGAATCGAACCCGCGATGCGTTGCACGGCAGCCAGTTGCCCAGCCACCGCACCAACCGTGCAGTACTATTTTAAAACTACCTGGAATGGGTGATATCCTGCTCTGAGCTGGGCTGCAACCTTTACGTCGGTTACAGCCAACCATAGTAGCCCCAGCTCTAGTAGGATAGCTCACAATTATTAATTTTATCAGAAAGCTTAGGAAAGCCTTACGACTACTTACAATTGTACTATTATTACATTGGTTTTGACAATACTGTGGATTTAGATAATGATTGATATTAAAACTTACAAGGCTAAGCAAATATGAATGACACATTTTATTAGATTTCCTTTTATAATAAAATATTTTTTAACAAGGATTAAAAACAATAGTACAATAATTATCTAAGTTCTTTTAACTCTGCTCCACTTCTCCTTTCGTGGTTTTCTTTTAAATGTCAAGCAATATATGTTACCTTGCTTGTACTGCAATGTTTAAATTGATTTTTAAGAGAATATCGAGAGCATTCCTTCTCCTAATCAATGTCCATTCATCTCGACTATAGTAATGTATTATATTTAGTTAGTGAACATTGTAGAAATGTATGTACTTAGTAAGATTAATCTAATTTATGTAAATATTGTAATCACAGTAGTTGTTTATTTATAAAATGGCACAATAAACCAAATACAAATTATTTTATGGTCTATTATTTCATCAATCTTATTGTTTCGATACAGCAAAGTTTAATTCCGAATTATAGGTAAACTGAAGAGTAGTAGGTAATTATAAAATTAGCTTTAAATATGTAAGTACACTTTTATTTCAATTGGCAAAAACTTTAGTGAGATTTAATAAAAAAATCAAAAATAAGTGAAATTGGTATATTTTCTAATGATTCTAAATAGCAAAAGATTGTTAACTGATAGACAACACATTAAAATAGCCTGTTAGCAATATAAGTACATATTTTGCTAAAAGTCGTCTTTTTGTATATAATTTAAATATTATTTATATATAATATAAATAAAGACCACATAATCCACCATGGTACTCTCACTACCGATAAAAAAAATTAAAGTAGGTTTTCTGTCTAATTAAGAGAGAGAAAATATATTTATTTATATTATTTATATATTCATGTGCAACACGTATAATAAAAATAAAGATTACCGTAAAGAAAAAGTTAGGTACTGCATATTAATTACATTTGAAATAATTTCCTACAGTCTTGCGAGGGTTTTTCAACATAACACACGATAGTCATAAATTAGAAGCAATAAATATGACATCACGGTTAAAAAATCTCATACAAAATCTATAAAAACGTTTATTTTTAACAGTACAAAGAGGAATGAATTTGATTAGAAGGCATCATCCTCATCATCAGTAAGTTCACCTTCCAATCTATAAAACATAGCTCTCTAATCTCGCGCGGTTTCACCCGCTGCTAGTCTCCTATTTAATCGTAGCGTTAGCGTAATGTTTTATAGCCTATAGCACTCAGGAACATTGTAGATATCTATCAGTAAAAGAATTTTGGCAATCCGACCAGCGGTTTTAAAGATTACCCCCTACATACAAACTTACAAACATACAAACTTACAAACAAACACACTTACAAGTTTTACCTCTTTATAATATTAGTATAGATGGGCATCTTTAACATAACATAGCTAGTGAAACGTGGGAGTCCCAAAATGACATGCACATATGCCTGTGTGGTGCGAACTGGATGTGTATAGTAAGTGGTAGGTAGACTTTAGGGACAAAAAGGCATGACACTCTGATGATGGATGCCAATGATCTTATGTAGCCCGTCAAAGCATAAAATGGTGTTATAATTTGATACATTTCAAATTTTATCTAACTTTATCAGTTGAAAGAGGCTCAATCCTTTGAAAAAGGCTTAACCCCTTCTTTCCTAATCCATGGGCTGCTCGTTCGCCGTCGTAATATCAAAGGAGCTAGCTACTTTAAGTGCGTTACCGGCCTCTTTTAAGTTATTAGGGATTTAAGGATAGGGGACTTGTGGATTGCGTATGAGGGGTGGGGAAGGGTAAAGTAGAGTAAAAGTAACAACGCAGGTAAGTGTTGCTTCACGCCGGTGTTCTTTGAGGCAGTGGTATCACTCCGGTCGGATCGACCCATTTTTGTCGAAGCATTGTCATGCATTAGTACTAGTAGAAGCTATTCTCAGTTATTACACGTGAGTAAGTCTTCATTTTCAATTAATTTATATTTTAAATCCGTATTCAAAGAATTTGATACAATTACGTCACAGTTCATATAAGTATTTCTTTAATCTTTAGTTTCGAGATTTTACTATGCGTAATAACCCCTACGATATGGAAATTGTGTGTAATAGATGTATTATGGTAATGCGATGCCGACCGGAAACTTTGTAATTTCATAGATTTTGTTTTGCTCCAATTTGAATGAGTAATTTCACGCGACATTTCAAAGGAATTAGTGACCGCCGCGCGCAGGCGATTATATTACACCTACGTTTTAATTTCACATGTAATTTCTAATAGTGATGTTATGAATTTAATATCGGATCTAGATACGGTTACCACAGAATCTACAGTATTAGTGTCGATTTTGGTTGAACTAATGTAAAATTATTATAGACTTGTTTTTTTCTATAAAAAGAGACACGTTAAGCTTAAATAGAAAATCGCCAAATTGAAAAATATTTTGTTGGCTTTTTGGCAATAACTCCGCACTTAAATTTGAATTAAGTATAACTAAGTAGTTATAATTGCTGCTATCTTGATTAGTACATCACATCTAGATCGTTCATGCAAAATTAATTTAATGAAAAAATATATATGAAAAACCATTATTAAAAATTTGCTATATATAGTACTACCTA